GGAGAGTTGAAGACTGAGCCTGTGTGTGTGTGTGTGTGTGTGTGTGTGTGTGTGTGTGTGTGTGTGTGTGTGTGTGTGTGTGTGTGTGTGTGTGTTAGAGAGAGAGTAACAAATCGTTGACAAACAAAGGAAAATTGAAGGAAGAAGGAGAAAGGCTAAGTTCTGCGTATTTTAGGCATATGAGCTAGTAGGCTTCGCTAAACATCCAGTGATTACACTTGTTATTATAAACATGTGAGTTTGCACACCACTTTTAAAGTCATTACCTCATGTAGGGCATGTGAAAAGGTGAAGGACTCACCCAACTGGACATTAAACTGTATTTAACCAGCCAGCTCGTGTGATGTTCAGGTGCAGCGATTTGTGCCAGTGTGAGAAAAGAGCAAATAACAGCCACAGCTAGCGAGAGGTCGCCCTGCGATACGTATCATGAAAGCTCTACTCATTCAGCACCTAAATCAAACACAGCTCTTCCAGTACCCAGAATGCAGCTGGCGCATCACCTGCCGTGGGCTACACAGAACTACCACACAGGCTGTATTGTTAGGGACAGATTATTTGCAACTGTTTGAAATTTTGACAGTCCCTGTGTTACTTTGACAAGAAGTAAGGCAATACACCAATAGCCTTGCAGGACTGATCAATTATTTTTGATAAGTGTGTTTTGAGAACACTCCTGTTTTTAGAGCTGCAGACTAGTGCTTTATTTACTTAGTATCGATCTGATACCAAGTAAATACTGTACCAGTATTGCTGAGTTTAAACTCCGCATGAGTTTGTAAATCACAGCTTAAAACATGAGGTTTTGAATGTAAACACATAAGAATTAGCATATTTCAATATGTTTGGGCTAGTAATCATTTTATTAAACAATGCACATCCTGCTACATCTCTCTCTCATCTCTAGAGAAAAATGATATCATGGTGATAACTGGTCTTTTTTTCTTCCTCAATCCCATTATCTTTATCACTCAATAGCTCTTGTGGTGAATGACTGATTGTTAAAGTTTTATTTGGCAGAGTGTCTGGAAATCAGATGAATATGAGCTCTGAGTCAGAGTAAAATGAGCATGATAAAATGATTCCATATGCTGCAAAAACAAGCATCAAAAACTAGCTTTTTATAATGTTTGTCTAATAATAATGCTAGCAGGTAGCATGCACCCCATACTCTGACATATTTAGCTGACTCATAATAGCGTGAATCCCCCACGAACCACCGCACTCTCCCTCCCAACAATGTCCAGAGTGGCTGTGTGAAAGAGGTACTGATTACAGGACAAAGTGTGATGACACAACTGTTACTCACTGGTAGGAATGATGACTGTACTTTATCTAAAGTATTAACGGTCGCACCCAAAATTTGTCCGGAGGGCTTTAAACTCTCAGAAATAACTCATGATTACACTTGAGCGACTGCGGAAAGAGGAAGTGATGTCACACAGTAAGAGCATATGTTAAAGTTATAATCTACAGTATAAGTGACTAGCAGTTTCTATGCTTCACTCATCCCTTCACAATTTCTTTGTTTAGTTTATTACTCGTCTGTCGGCTGCAGTCCTGCTAAACACAATCACCTTGATACTTCTGCCCGGTGTTTACTCCCTTTGTTCCACTCACTTGTTTTCTCCTGTCTGCGTCTCTCTCACGTTTGCCCATTCTCTAGCTGCCTTCTCTCCCTCTGTCTCTATCTGATTTCTGCCTGTCTTTGCATCTCTGCCTTTTCAGCCCGCCCTCACTTTCTTAACTACTTCCAAGAACAATATACTTGATTTCCTCTCTCGTCTCATCCAGTCTTCACTCATCTGCCCCCAAAGCTCTCTGTTTCTTGTTTATGT